CACATCTGAAACACATACCCCAAACTCCTCTTCCCTCGGGCTGCGCAGAAACTTCTGGGCTTAGACCACTGTGCTACAGCGGTACTGCCTCCAGCTGCTCAGGAAAAAAACGAAAACAAAAAAAAAGAAGAATCTCATGCAGAAATTCAACTTTTTGCAAGAAAAGCTCCACAACTCCGAAATTAAAAATGTTTGCCAGCACAGCAGACATTTGCCAGCACATTTTTGATTTTTTGCCAAAACATTCCGGCCAAAACTTGGGAGAAAAACTCAGAATTGTCTATGGAAAGCAGATACTTCTCATGAAAATATTCATTTAGTCAAATCCCCAGGTTTCTACTGAAAGTCAGCTTCAGTGGAAAATGCTGACGAGCTCTATTATTGGCACAGCTTTAATTTTCCTTTGTCTGGAACAGACACGGAGAAGAGAGCATCTGTCAAATGTGGTCTTTAGACTTATGTTATTATTTAGCCCGGAGTATTGTTCAAGGACTTCGAGAAAGGTTCAAGCCACCACGGTGCTAGGTGCTGTGCCTATACACCAAAGATAGTCCCTTCCCCAGAGGGATTATAATTTGATGACAAAACATGGAGGAGATAAACAGCTGGGGAGAGCACGAGGTAATTTTGGAGGAGTCCTGAGCAGCGTGATGAGCAAAGGGATGCTGTGCTTCCCCTCGCACCTGCTCTTGCCCGGAATGCTTTGTGCTCAGCCGTACCACAGCTGTGGGGGCTCAGCCCTCCCCCAGGACACACAGCAAACTGGCCCAGCTCCGGAGGTGGCTGCAGAGGAGGGGGAGAGATGGGTCCTGCTCTCCCCACCCTGCCTCCAGTTCAAAATATCCCTGGGATGGAGAGGAGAACGCCAAGAAAGGCATCTCCGCAACCCCTAAAACACAGATGCTGCGATTCTGCTTGCTCCTTGCCTTGGGTAAGATGCTCTACCAACCTCTCTCTTGACCCGATCGAGTTCACCTGCCCTAAGTCATGCCTTTATTTTTTTTTGCCCAGATTCTGCCCTGCCCGGCTTGCCGTGCAATCCCACCCGCCTGTCCGCCACGCTCCCCTCCTGCCCTCGCCCCCCGCGCGCTCTTCATCCCTCTGTGCCTCCATCAAACCGACGCCACCGCTTTAGTTACAAGAGAGCAGTTCGAGAAGGCTCTGTGCTGGTTTCAAATAGTTTCCAGAACTGGTCACCCCCTTCTGTAAGAGATTAAAAAGGCATTGCTGAGAAGGGAGTGAGGGAGAAAGAGAGCGCGAGAAAAATAAATAAATAAAGGTATATAGTTACTTTTGGTTAGTCTCAATATGCAGTCCCGTCCCAGGGCGCCTTGTTCTGTGCTCATTTGAAGTATTAGTCACTTTTTCCATTAGAAGCTCTTATTCTAGGGGGATTTATAATGTATCTGTAAAATTGTCTCCAGGCTTTGCTTGGCATCTGAGCTCTCAATCCACAGACAGAATGTAAAGAAACTACAGTTGTTTGATTTATTGGGACAGGGCATGGGGAGGGAGGGAATTTTTCCATGCTGGGTGGAAATAAATTCATATAGTGCCTTCAGCGCACAATCACTGCTCCAGAAAATACACCGTTTGGGTGCAATCTCCGGCTGGCAAAGAGGACAGAAGCGAATCAATGATTTTTTTAATATTTCCCTGCCTGACACCAGCCCTCATTTGTGGTTTCTCACCATGACCCACCCGGTCCACAGTCCTGCTGGGTGTGACAGTCCCTGTCATACTGCTCGCGTTTGGAAATCCTGCCCTTGACAAGCCTTTTTCAACCCTGATTTCTACGAGCGACAATTCTTAACCCTCTGCAGAGTCTTTCTGACAGAGTCCTGATTTTTTACCTAGGGAGGTCTACGCCTCATTGAAGTTTTGCTCACGTTTCTTAACAAGCACCTGCCCAAAGGCTGGGCGGGATGAGCAAGGGCTGGCACGCTGCTGGAGGTAACATCAGCACCTGAACGGCAGAGGTGTTCTGGCAAAGCGAGAACAGGGAGGTGACAACACCCTTGGGACGCGCAAACGCTGGGCTACAAACACCCCATCACCTCCCTACCGGTCCTCCTCTATGCCATGGCTGAGGATAAACTCATCTGCAGAGTGACCCTGACCTGGGCCAACGTTCACCCAAACTTCTGCTGAAGACAGGAGTGGATGGGGAAGAAGGGACGGATTAGGGACAGCGACACACAGCGGGATCAAGGGGAGGGAGAGCCTCCCCGCAGCGCCCATCAGCAAAGCAAAAGCCCAACGTGGACGTTTCAAGGAAACAATAACCTAAAATTGGAACGTGGCAAATTATTTATTCAAACTACAGCCTTCCCTCCTCCCTTGATTAGCAAACCGCTGGGGACTCAGCCCTGATTTTCTTCAGACGGAGGCATACGGCTCTCCTTCTCCAGCTGCGCCAGGAGCACGCAGCCCGGGGGGGGCTGAAGATCTTGTTGGTATTCGCATTGTGTAGCAGCTCCTTCAATTCACACGTTGTTCTGCCCTCCGACTGGATCACAAACTTTTTCTTTGGGAGCATACACCGCAATGAGGAGCATGTTTTCTGCCCTTTTTTTTTTTTTTTTTTCCAGGGAAACGTTTAGGCTGCAGTGTTCAAACACTTCCCCATGCACTCACTCAACTGCTTGCACCTAATAATAAAGCAATCTCCAGGAAGCATTGCAACTCAAATTCCTGATTTGATTTTTTTTTGGGGGGGGAGAGAGGGGGGTGTTCCGTGGTTCCATTCATCATTTATTAAAAGCCCCAGTGAAGCCTTGAGAGACAGACACGAGAGCACGTAAAGAAACATAGGGATGGGCGGTAAAACTGAAGTGGGAAATCCCAGCGCTGAAATCCTCTCCCCGTTTAAGTCAGAGGCAAAACCTCTACGGACCACAGAGGAGCCGGGATTTCCCCCCTGGGACTTCGGTAGTGGGAGACGCGGAGCTCAGTGACATATCGGGAAGACTGTGAAAGGTTCAAAGTACCAAACGAAGCAGAGCAGAGACAGGAGAGGAACAAAGGAAGTTCACATCATTATAATTTATTGATGATCTTGGCCTGATCGCTTCAGTGTTTTGTCTTAACAGAGCCCACCCTGAGCTGCAGCGAGTCCTGCAGGTCACTTGGACCATACTGATGGGGAAGTGATGCGACGATTAACAAAGTTGGCTTAAAAATATAAAAAAATAAAATAAAGAAGCACCAGGCTGGGTCTCACCCTCACCCGAGCACTTGCTGGGAACTGGCCAGGATCTCCTGACCTCACCCCCACCGGAGTGCGGCTCCAGGAATTCCCTCACCATAGTTCACATTTTTCCAGCTCTACCAATTCACCCAGCAAGTGCCATGGGAAATCGCTACGGCTGAGGCATCCAAACTTGCTTAAGAATGAGCCAAACTGATTCTTTTCTTCAAGGAGGAGGGTCTTAAGGAAAATAAAATGCTGGGGGTTCTTTGTCCCTGTATCTTGGATACGAGAAAACTCCCACGCTTGTCAGAAATAAGAGCAGCACCAGCAGCTCACAGCTTTTTCTCTTTCTTATTCTTTTTTTTTTCTCCAGTGTGTGTGAGTGTGTGCTTTAAAGCAGGATGACATAGTGATGGGTTTAAGAGACAGTGAGTGTTGAGGTGCCAATTTCTAATGTAATACAGGGTTCAGCTTCTTTCTTCTGTGATCACGGGTGAAAAATCAAAAGAAATAATCCAGGAGACTAAATACACTCCCCAGCCATTCAACACGCTCATAAATATGCCTAGCGAGACGCTTTGTGCAAGAAAACCCCACCACTTCTATTCTGCATCTTGTTTAACTACGAGTCAAATCTTCCATCCGCATCTTCCGATTGTGCCAGTCAGAGTAAACAGCGGCGCATTCCCACCCTCTTCCCCCGCAGGTTTGGGCTGATGGTTTACATTTAAAAACTAGCAGGTTCCCATTTTTTTCTCTCCCACCTGCAGGAAAGTGCCCACTCACAGTCCCTTTGCGGGAAACACGCTGCTGTCACAGAAAGCAACTCCAAAACAAAGAGTTTCGCTAGACTCACCCCTTGGCACCACCTTTACTATTCAAGAGAACTTAGCAGGAAGCCTGCCCTTTCCTGCATGCCGCTCCCGCTCCAAAATAAAGCAAATTTGGAAGAAGTAAATGAAATTAAATCCATAAGTGCTGTCATTTCCTTTTTAAGGCTGGAGGAGCCCTGGAGCCCATTAGCTCTTGACAAGAAGGGGACCCTCCAGTTCCCGCTGGATGCACAGACACTGGGGGAACAACCAGACCTTTGTTTATCACGTTATCCTGTACGCAGATGTCATACGGATGAGGGACCCATGCCCACCAGGGACGACACTTTCCGCACACTGGGAAGTTTATTCCGACGTAAATATGTGTATATTTATAAGCACATTCTACCTAAGCACTTCATCCTGAGGAGGTTTGAACGAATTCCTTCCAAACCAGCCCAAACGCCTCCCGTGCCAGCAAGCGGGGTGGGACACAGGTCAGCCCCTCTGGCAGGGACACACACAAGAAGGTACCGGTGGGTTTCAGTACCGATGAAGTTTGGTTTAGTTTGGGTTGGTTTAGGTTGGGTTGGGTTGGTTTGGTTTGCAACATCGCCGCCGAGCCCGCCGGGACTCCTTTGAGGGAGTGCTTTTTTTCAGTTGTATTTTATAAGCACAAACTTATGAATTGAGAACTTTTTTTTTTTTTAAAGAAAAAAACCCCAACTAACCAAACACGTTTTTTCCGAGTTTTAGGCACCAGTAAATCCCCCCGCACGGCAAAGCGTCCCCCGGAGCACAGCCTGACATCTCTCATCCCTCCACCTCCCTCCTTCTAGGCGAAGTTGAGGAAGGGACCGGAGCCTTCACCGGCCCCGGGGCAGCGGGCACCGAAGCTCGGGGGGCGGCTTTTGTTCCCGCCCCCTTCCCGGGCAGCCGAACTCCCCTTTTTCCGCCGTTCCCCTCCTCGTAGCTCCCGGAGCGCCTCCACTTACCAGCTGCAAAGTGCAGAGGAAAATGAGGGTGCAGCGCCCGGTGCAGCATCCCATGGTCCCCGAACGGCGGGGGCGAGGGACAG